TTTTTTTTTTTTTTTTGATTTTTTCAATGATTCAGTGACAGTGATTCAGAGCAGTTTACTTAGGTGGCTTTTTTTTTTTGTTCTCGCCTGTATGATGATTCATTTATAAAAAAATTGGTTTTGTTTATTTTAAGGAACATTTATTTGTTGTCTGATTATTTGTTTATTCGACTTTTTACGTTTATTTATTTTTACAGGTGTCAACTATGAGTGCCGTAAATATAATTATTTTTTCTCTAACAGTAGCCTTTTTAAGTGGTTACTGTGATTGTAAAAAATCCTATAAGCCTGTTTCTGATAGCGCTGCAAAGGTAAGCAATTAACTGCTATCCGATATCAATCAATCGTATCAAGCTAATTTTTAACACTTTTTTTTGATCTTTATCGGTCATAATAATTCAGTTGATAATACCTTCATCTTGCAATGTTCGTTCAATTGATGATCAGATATGTTAAAAAAAAAAAATTGTTAGAAGTATCTATTTCATAATTTTATTCTTAACATAACTGAGAATATCTAAATTAAAGCAAAAAACTTTATAAGTATTAAAATACGAGTCCGTTACAATGAAAGTTATTTTATTAACCGTAAAATCATTTGTTTTCTTCCATGAAGTAAAAAATTGGAAAGTGAAGAATTTAAAGTGGCAAAATTTTTATGGCCTTTAAACAGGTTAACGCTTAAAATAATACGCTGTATTTGCCAATGGTATTGCACTAGTCAAATACTTCCAAACTGTCAATTGTCAACCATTCATAATTACCATTTAACAATTATTCCAAATTTATGCAAAACAAAAAGAAAAAGAAACAAAAATTTTTTGTTCAAAATTTAGCTCAACCTTCATGAGAAACCTCAGCCTACATCTAGTACTATGTTCTGCTTAGTCAAAGCACTGCTACTGGTGAACACCGCTGTTGCAGAAATATTTGCAAACATTTGGTTATGTTGGCACAAGCAATATGTTGAATGCTTCACCAAATTCAATGGGTGGCGGTAATGTGGAGGATACATTGTCAGTGTTTAAAAAAGCAATTAAAAAATTTCAAGAATTTGCTGGACTTCTCCCTACGGGTCAACTGGACGAAGCCACAAAAACAAAAATGGCTGAACCTCGTTGCGGTGTAGTCGACGTTATGAGTATGAGGGCAGATTGTAAGAATTTCTTTTTGTCCAAACTATCTCCCATTTTACTTCTAATTTTTTTTGAATTAAATATGATTAGTAGTTGAGAATATTTTTACTGATTCTGCTACCATCACACGGCCCACTTCTTTTTTCGACATTCATAAAACGGATTCACAGAAAAAAAGCTTGCTTTATACATTCTTACTGTTTCATTTAGCGCTTATAACGCCTTTTAAAAATTTAAAAAAAAATGATAAAAAGATAACTTTTTTTGGCTTTCAATCACTTTTCAATTCGATAAATTCAAGCTTTTGCGGTTTAGTTACAGTTTCCGATTACTGAACAGCAAAAAATTTGTTTTTACTCAGGAAAAAAAAATGAAACAAACAATCGCTTTCGAATTCAAACGCTTATAACCTCTCCTCTACAACCTAATCTTGTTCTTCTTCTAGCCTCAGCTTTCACTTGGGACAAAACAGATCTAACATATTCAATTGAATCGTTTAGCACCGATCTTCCACGTGAGGAAGTTAGGTGGGTTTTTTTTGGAGGGAGGGGCATACTGGAAACATGAATAACTAGACGATTTTGAGTCAATTTCAAACAGATTTTAAAACCGATTTTTCCAAACCCCAAATACAGTCAGCCAGTAGCCAATTGATTTCGACCTAATGAGCCAGTGGAAATAATCTGGGAGTTGTTGCGGCAAGGACAAAAACCATGTAAACAACAACAAAAAACAACAACAAAAAATAAGGTAAAACAAAAGATTACTGTCAGTCCTGAAATTTTCCAAATTGTTTCAGGGACTTTCTGTGTTGTTTACAGAAAGTTCTGAAGGCATCTTTGGTAGTGATAACAGACACAGCCAGGAAGTAATGGCGAAAACAATAGGTAGGAACCACCTATGGCTAGCGAAAAATTTCTCGATTTTGTTTGAAATCTAATACTTAAAGAGATACTGTAGTAATTCCGGCGTACGCCTCAAAACAGATTCCGAAAAGCTTGACTCGCTTCTAGAAAGCTCCTCTGGGCTTTAGTATCATTGAAGTATTTCACGACTTATTCGCCTCAGAGATATTTTTTAAATCAGTAGTACAAAAATTGTTTGCTTTTTTCTTTCTTTGTTTTCACGCAAAAGTTTTCCTTTTTGATATTCCGATAGCGGAGAAAACGTTTGTTATCATTTTGAATACGAGGCGGTAGGAAAAGTAGGTGAGGGAATTGAGGAAACACCACCACCGCTTCGGACAGCACTGCATATTGCAATTTCTAAGTTGCTTCTTTTTGTTTCACCTTATATCGGCAAACTATGAGGAAGCTGTTAGGGAAATTGATCAGCTCTTGTAGCCCGAAGGTTCTACAGAACGAAAATTAAGGTTGAAGTACAACTGTGCTGCAGGAGTTGGAGGAGTGAAACGCTACAAATGGCTCTTTCTATTAGGGTTGCAAATTTGCAACTTCTGCACTTTGTATGAAAGCAGTTTTTGTGACATGGTTGTTTTCAAACTTTGGGCAGCGCGCAAAAACAAATTATTTTAAATTGCTTCCAAATTCATCTTTTTTTGGGCTATAAATTCAAATGGAATTAAACATTCGACCATTTTTTGCAGCACCTTACAAATTTTATCATATAAATTGAAATTCGCCAACTTTGTAAAGTGTTGTCTAGAACAAGTAAAATATCTCACTCAAAAGAACTGCAGTATGACTTGTAATCGTCTAGTTATTAATCCTGTGACAATAATTAAGTCTTTTTATTACTTTGTTGCATAGACTCTTTATTGGAGAAAAAGCTGTTCAGGGATGCAATTGCAAAAGCTTATAAAATGTGGTCAGATGTTACGCCACTAAATTTCCGTGAGGTTCCATCTAATGGTGATATCAGAGTCAAATTTGGTGCTGGCAGTCATGGTGATCCATGGCCATTTGATGGGTCAGGTAATGTAAATAAAAAATCTGCCAATCTTTACTTAACTATAATAAAATCACCTATTTTTGTGCAAGTAATTTTTCTAGTCTTTTATGTCGTAAGGAAATATTTTAACAAATCATAATAGCTGGAGTTCTAAGCTAATTTAATTTTTTCAGGTGGCGTGCTAGCACATGCAACTTTCCCTAAATCTGGTTATTTACATTTTGATGAAGATGAGGACTGGGCTTACAAGGACCACAACAAATTGATTAAGTGATTTATAGGCTTCTTGTATTTTTAATCACTCTTTTTCTACGTTTATAAGAAATAACTTTTAAAAATAAGTATCAAATTTATTCTCTTTGCAGTTACCAGTATATCGATTTGCTTAGTGTTGCTATACATGAAGCTGGTCATACATTAGGACTTGAGCATTCTCGTGATAAAAATGCAATTATGGCTCCATTTTATCAGGATGTCGTTGACCGTTACGGGAACTACGTGGAATCAAAACTAGCTAGAGACGATATCGAGAAAATTCAGGATCTCTACGGTAAGTAATAATGCGTTTTTTGTAATGATAAATGATAATGTAAGGTATAATTTTCCTTCTCAACAACCCTTACCTTAAATGGGACGAGAAGGCATCTTTTTTTTAAAACGCTTAGACCATGTCAATTAAAAAAGGCTAGCATAAAATAAATTCTTTTATGTAGGTAAAAAAAGAGGCGGAAGTTCGTCACGTAATTCTTGGCCATTTGGTGGCGACACCGGTTCAATAATACCGTTGAAGCCAGGTTTTGGTGGTGATGACGAGTCATTCGGAGGTGACTGCAAAATTATTATTGTTAATTCTAATTCTCATTTTACGTTTCTACACTTTTAATACTTCGTCACGTTGGCATTTTAGGTAGACTATGAAAAAGGCAGTTTTTTAATATTATTTTTTATGGCAACAATAACGGCTCTCTTCTATTCGTTCTTTTTTTTTTCTCGCGGAGACAACTCTGAAATTCCAACGGTTGTTGCAGCAATAATTTTGACGTAGCACTTCAAATTATTGGTACGATTTTGCAAAGAAAAAAATTTTAATATTTCAGGTTTCCAAGGTGGATTTGGTTTTAACCGAAGGCCTTCAATAACGTCTAACGGTCATTCATCAGACGGCTTTAATAATGACCACAACAGCTACGGCAGCGATCATTCAAGTGTCGGTTGTCCCAGTGACGTCGATGCCGTTGCCCAGGGTTGCATAAATCGCTTCTGAATTCACTTCTAACCTTCTAAACACTACTATTTTCTGTATTCATTAATTAAGTGTGAACAAGAGAAGGCAAGGTTGAGGACTTCAAGAACCAAAAAAAAAAAAACAATTATTTTTAGTACGTGGAACAGCTTATTTGTTCAGCTCTACAAAAGTATATGAGATTCAAAACAACAAAGTGATTGACGTACATTCATTGAAACAGCTATTTCCAAATGGTCCACCGTATACACAAGGAGCTTTCGGAAATCGTGAAACAGACACGACTTATTTATTCCACGACAGAAAAGTGTCGTTTTTACAATAGTTGTAAAACCGTTTCTCCTTACGATTTAAAAATTTTGCCGCTTTAGTAAACCATTTTTTTATTCATTCTACGCAAAGTGCGAATTTTTTTAGCTGTTAGTTTTTATCCATAATTCAGTATAGCATTTCACCATACGTAAGACAAAGCAAAAATTTTATTTTAGGTCTATTCATACAAATATGATGATCGTCGGCGAAGTTTCAAGCTGGAAAATGGGTATCCAAAAAGGCTTCCGTTTTCATTAAAATTTAACCCGATGGGAGCTTTTCGTTGGTCGGACAACCAGGATTATTTATTTAATGTAGTTTTCTAATTCCTTTCAATCGCTGCATCATTTGCAGCTTATACGTCTGTCCCCTTCAGTGCTATTGAATTTATGAAATAATACAAAAACAGTTAGCCGACGACTAAGTTTTCAATTGATTCTGTTTTTTTTAAAGACTACTGTAAACTGTAGGCCAATGATTATGCCGTCTACAACGATGAAGTAAATGGTATCAGAACCCAAGGTCGAGTTCCAGAACGCTTCAAAAACTTCCCACGGCTAGAAGCCATTCGTGGTAAGTTGATACAGCACAAGAATGCTCAACAAATCTTGAAACGGTTCTTACGGTACACATAAGAGCAAAATGCTTTTCTTTGTTTTGTATAAAGGTTTGTGAAGACTTAAGAGTTATAAACTCTTGAAGTTTTATATTTGGCCATAACTTGAAAAACTGTATTGTGGATAACGGAGTTGCTTTTCGCTTGCATGAAATTTGTCAAATGCTAAAAGTAATGCGCATAAGTCGTCAATTTTACCGAACGTTATGACATTTCTTTATAGGCGCTGTACAGAATGGCAAAAAAATGACAGTTTTTACAAATAGTAAGGTGTTCGACTACGATGCTAATGAGGGAGCAATGATTGGATCTCTGAAACCGTTAGAAGTTTATTTACACTGTCGAAGTTTCTGAAGTTGTTCCTGTTTTTTTAATGTATTCATCTATCTGGAAGACATCTCCTCAAAATTGAAAAAGGAAATGACAAAAATTTCTATTGTTTTTTAATTCATTTGTCAGCAAAAAAAAAAAAAAAAAACTGCATTTTCTATTTGTATAAACGCTATCACGGCATAGAAAATGACACTTTAATATTAGCTTTTGGACAGGAGATAATTTTGGTATGATCACTGTTGCCAATGATGTTTAGCTTTACAAGATTACAAAAGTAATGATAATAAAATAAAAAATTGAATTTTCTTCCCCAGCACCACTGGAAGTTATACGGTCTACGAGCAATTTTTTTAAAATAACACCAGCATTTTCTCGCAAGTTTTCTCAATAATAGTATCTAAGCCTGTGCAGTGCAGAGAGGAAGTAACAAAACGATGTTGCTTATCAAAATTTAAAAGTTTATCAAAATCATCGTGAAACTCTTAATTTTTGGGATCCCTTTCTTAACATTTCTTGGTTTG